AATATTAGTTTTCTTGCCTATCTTTTTATAACTAAATTAAATTATGAAATACCTTGATAATTAATTATTACATTATTATTATCAATGATGAAAAGACTTTATTTACGGTGTATGAAGATTATTAACTTATAATGTAATTAATCTGTAAGCGATTATCATAAAAATTGTTTTGAAATAATACTATATCTTTAGTTAAGTTTTAAATAACGTATTAAACTGTTTAATTAGGTACAGTATTAATCTCAAGTTAAATTTATTGGTTAAAATTATAATAGTCATAAAAAACTTAGCTCAGAATTTTTTTTTAGTACTCAAATACCTTCTGTTAGTATGAGTACTGATTTTTTAAATTTATATAGGTCACTTATTGTTTAAACTTTTAAATATTATGTTTGGACAACCACTGTGTGCTATTTAAAGAAACGATTACACATTTGTGATAATGTTGACCTTTGGACAAATATTATAAAATAATTCAAGGGTCCAAAATTTTCTAGAGACAAATTTCATCATTAATTTGGAATTAACCCATTTGTACTTTGTTATTAGGGAAAGATGTAAGTATAGGTTTTTTATGAAATATCAAAAATGTTTTGTGTAAATAATTTTTATTCGAATCGTTAAAAAATATTTATGCAATAACTCTAAACTTTAAATTCAACATATAAGCAATTTTAGTTTATATGACAAAACAAAAAATATTGTACATATTTACAAAAATTAATAACCATAACATGTCAAGATTTAAAACAAAGGTATAAATTATTAAAGAATATCTTAAGTTTATTTTTGCTTCCTTTTGTATATTCACGTTGTTGTATTATTCGTGTTTATTTTTTAGTATAAGAATCAATGTTGAAAATGCTATACCGATAAGTGCTAATTTTAGTTTTTGATTTAAAGAGGTACGGATGATTATAGCGTGGAATTATACTAGCGATGTTAATTGAAAGAAAATACTGAAAAATAGGGGTGAAGAATGTTTCAATTTTTAAGAAAAAAACATTTTATAAACGATATAAGTGATTTAATAAACAAACTTTATGGTGAAAGAAGAGTAAAAAGAACACTTTACGGTTATTGCTGTACTTAAAAAGAAGAAGACACGAGTGGAACACTATCGTAACAAAAGAGAAGATAGATTAACATCAACTGTGTTTGTAGCAATGGAATTCATGTTGACATTTTGAATTAAACACACTCTGTCAATCTACGTCCAACTGGAATTTCACTCCGAGTAGATTTAGTAACCCTATGCCACAAACATTCAACAATAGAATGACATGTGTATGTTTGGACAATCGCGTGATGAATATGCATTGGAGATATTAAATCAAAATCAAAATTAATAAAATATACTTGCAATCTTTATACAATTTCTAATACAATTTAATGTTTCTGTGTAAACATCAAATAGTGAATTATGCGTTTTATTAATAATAATTTTATAAAATATATAACGTTTAACTTTAACAGACGTTCGTGCTTATTTGTATTATTTTCAATCCAACTGCCGATAAACAAAAAAAGATACCTACCTAGGTATCTAATTAAATAATTATTATTTAATAGAATATATATATCCAATGATCGATATCTATAGCACCTATACATTTTAAGAAAATACCTACTTGATTAATTTAGTAAAAAACTTTACATTTTTTAATAAAAATAGGCACAGCAAAGCGGTTTCAATTTATTTTATTAAAATTATGCCACATATAAGATTGTAGGTGCTTTATTTTATTGTCTTTATAGTATTGTAGTAGGTATCAAATGTGCACATGAACAAGAAAAAAGGCTCAAAATTAAAGTAGATAATAGAAAATTAAATATGAAAAAATATTCTAGTATTACGAACTTGTGCAGATAAATAATATTTGAATATACGTATGGTTTATTTAGTGACATAATGATGAATATTATTAAGTGACGCAGAAACCACCGATGACAATTTTCCACATACAAGGCATTCAATAGATCGAAAAATCAAGTGTTGATATTAACGAGCGAGAATTTATAAAATGTTTATTGTGAAATACTGAAATATTATGATCGTTCACCGAAAAAGGGCTGCAGGTATACTTTCAAAAATTCGTCAATACCAAAAACGTTAACGACGAAAGATTTATCATTGCAGTTTTCAACCAAACCGTATAAAATGGCAAAAAATTACGTTACTAAATAACTATTAATATTTTTTTTTTTTTTTTTTACTTTTATAATATAAATTATAATACAATAATATTTTAGAACATTTTTTAAAAGGAATAATTAATTATTTTAGATAAAAAAAAAATAAATGAACAAATAGCATAATAAGTCGTAATCTTGATTATAACAATCCAATGAATTACATTATAATAATATATGTGCAGTGTTTAACATGTTATAAATACTAAATTATATACGTATAATATGTAAATTAAAAGAATAAAAAACAATTGACATGAGGGTTTTGGATATTTTTATTTTTAGGAATATTGTACATAAAGTATAAAATGATAAATATTCTTAACGGAGGTTCTTTTTTTACATACATTCCATACAAACGCCTATTAAACATGATACATAATATTATAATACATTTTTTTTCACGAGTCTGTTGTATATGCTTACCCACGGTGGTTTTGTTAATGAATAATGTGTTTCAATGGTACGCCAACATAATGTGTATACCTATATGGTTTTGGTGGTACATTTGTCACTTATGACATTTTCGCATATGTGAACATATTATAATGATACAACACTCTACTGTGCATATCACACAAAATGTGTGACCAAAATAACAACGATTGTTATTAAAACAAAGCTTCGATGAAGAATTCAACAAAATGCGTAAATGCGAAAACGCCATGTGCACAATGACAAGAACCAAATTACTGGTACCAATCTGACGGAAACAAAACCAATTTAAGCACGAAAAATGTTCATCTTTTCCATTTTGTAAAAATATCGAAATATACTATCTAAAAGCAATTCGATAAATATGTCATATTAAAGGTATGAGATGGTGAAAAAGGAAATGGCTATGTTAGGTGACGTAGGAAAGGTATGATGACTGATAAAAAATAAACAACTTTGAATAAATGAAAATGGAAATTTTGTTGTGAAAAAAAATAACTTCAGACTAATGGATACAATGTAGCCAGTTAGGTTAAAAAAGGTTGACAAAGTCACTTACATGGTATTTAGTTCTTATAGAAATAATAATGGAAAATAAATGTTTTGCATTGAATCGAAAACTTAGTCCAGAACAGAAAATATTAAATATATAAATATTTATTTGTTAGCTATTTAAACCCAACAAATATCCTTGTATGTTAATAATATTATATTTCTACGGTATATATTACATATTCTTTATAGTTTATGACAGTAATAGGATTTCATTATAATAATATGTAAAGTATACAATAAGTTAAACTGATAACAATAAATGAGGTATTATTTACATTGAAACGAGTTTAAATAAATTAGAAATGAAAAATTAATAAAATATATGACTTGAAATTATTTAAAATAGCGTTTAAAGGTAAATATCATGTGCAATATTATGTAGATATCGCACAATTAATAAGTTTCATATATTTTTATATTATACTATTATGGGCATTAAAACACCGACAAAATTTAATGAATAAAGGCTGAAATATCTTTATTAATTATTGAACATTGACGAAACATAATTATTATGAAAGAGTCATTATGAAATTAAAGAAAATTAGATTGTGTTTGAAATAAAAACCTAACGAGATAAAATAATTTCATATGATTATATTCAACAAATCATAAGCGAACCCGGTTTGCAAATTTCAGGCTCTAGAGGCTTTGTTTAGTCATATATAACAAACGGCCAAATTATGTAGTACGGGGAAAATTAATGACAATGGTGAATTTACTATAAATGTTTGTTGAATAAAAAAAAAATATATTCCTCGCTCTTTTAGGCTCGTAAATCCTAAGGAGACCACAAGACAGCCAATTAATACGCTGTCCTCAAAACTTTAAGTTTACACTTTACAACAGTATTCTTCCATGAAACCGCAACATGATACGTCTAAAAGACAGCTGTCTGCAATTCCTAATTTGGAGCTTAAATTATTTTTATAATAATTAAAGAAACACGCCTGACGTCCAGAGGTTACTACGAACAACAATAGTGTACATTGTTAAGACGTTCATTTAAGTAGAAAGCTTTGTTTAAAGTTCTAAAAATAAATAACAAAAAATCATTTAACCATCTATACAAAATACGTTAAGCCCTAAGACATTAGAGCGATTTTCATGATTTTAGTTTACAACGGAGTGTAATAAAACTGTTTTTGAGCTTAACCATTATACTAAAATTATAAGATTTAATATACTCCTATAATAATAGTTAACTACTTAAAATTTAAAAAAAAATACATGCATGTAAAACTACTAAAAATGTAAGTGACTAGTATTAGAAACTATTCTAAAAGTATTTATACTCATAATGACACAAAAAGTTTATAATAATATACCTCAACCATAATAAAAACTATGACAATTATTCATATTTTTATCAACACAATTTAAAAGAAGGTACTAATAAAATTATATTTTTGAATTGCTTAATTTAACTACATTTTTTTCATGTTATTTATAAAACATACACGACAAAAGTCATAAGTTTTAAATATTTTACAAGATTCATAATATAGTCTAAAACTATTTAATTTTTATATAGTTACTATTCTTTTTTTTAATAATATATAATGTCTAAATTATTTGTTCGTATTACTTATACGGAGTATTTAAAAATAAACATTTTTTCGCCGTTATTATTATTACCTTTGAATTTTTGTGATTTAACAAATTGAATTAATTTAAAACATTTTAATTAATTAATAATTAATAAACATTTTTTATCTATTAAAATCAATAGCTATCATTGAGATTAACGTTAAATTATATTTTATCTAAACAAAAATAACTTAAGTATTATTTTAATTTTTATACTTCAAACTTACCAAGGTTCACTTATTTTTTGATTTATTCTGTTGTTCTTAATGCAATCTAAAATGAAATTACAATATTTATTAGAATATTTTTGAATTATTAAAATAATTAATTACATCAAAATATTTTTTTATTTCACGATTAATCTAACTATAGGTTATATCTAGGTTCATAGGTTTATATCTAGATCTAGGATTTTTAACTTAATATTAATAACTAGCAATAGACATATTTGTAATGTAAACATATTAAAACGTTTTGGTTACGTCCCGAAAATTGTAAATATCCCTTAAAAGATGTCGTGACTTTTAAGGTGCGATGCCAAATACGTAACAATAATTTTAACCTCCATTTTAATCCTTTTTAACTGTATTGTCAAATTCTTAGTTTTAAAGAGTTAAGTAAATATAATAACAAATGTAGCAGCTGCCAACATCCAGACGTCATGATTCTTAGCAAGTCATATTCAATCAATCACTGTTGCGAACAAGCTATTATTCATACACATATCAATACAAACGATATTGTGATTGCATTCGCTTTAATAAAATAACGTCCCATCCACAATAAAATTTAGAATATAGTGTAAATAATTAACTTGAGTAAAATTATAGTATGAATATTGGCTTCGTTCCAATAATGAGAGGGAATTCACAATATGGCAATAAGTAAATTGCGTCCGCTTAACCGTTTTACGTACGCGACACAACGACGCGTAATAAATCTCGGTTTCCGTCAGTATAATATACTTATAGTATGCATGTATTCGGCAATAAATTTGTGAAACTTGGTGATTCATAGAGCAGATGCTCATCCCTAAACACGAAGCCTATGGTAACATAAAAAATATAAAATAGATATAATGTTTTTATTAAAGCCTATTATCATAATATTCCAATAATAACTACTATTAATAACAGTGGATAAAAATACAATGATTTTAACTTAGCCTATATTATCTTCTAAACGTATATTATTTTCATAAACTATTATCTTTAATAACATAGAAACCCCACAAATTTAAGCTTCAAAATTTAAACTCCAATTTAGATACATAATTATTTTTTTAAAGAATCATCTTTTTAAATACTATAAAATCAGAGCATTTAAAATATGGTCTTTAAGTATAATTTAAAATTCCGAAATTACAAATTATAATAAATGTGATTATGGATTATGCATTCTTGGTGGATTATAACTACAGTATTTAAGCAGTATTAAACAACAACATACATATATATATATAACTATTAAACCTGAAGTATTTCGTGTAAGTTTTTAGGGATTAAGTGCGGGTGCTGCATTGTCTCCGAAATCAACTAAAAATAAACACAATCGCGTTTTGTTTCCCCTCTCACACTGTCTCTCTCCGAAGCACAAAGTATTAACTAACAACAATTTAGTTAATATTAATTTTCACCAAAAACCATCCATAACCTCTATTTTTTAATTTTAATTTTTTTTTTATAATTGACATGTTTTCCCCACTGTACACCACCACTGGTGGTTTATTTTTAAAAATGTATTTTTTTGTTCTATGCTTATTTGTTTTACTTTACTACAATCACTATTTATTATTATTTGTATTATTATCACTATAATTATTTTATATTTTCCAGCTGAGTCCTGTAGACAGTGCCCCACAAGCTAGTATAAAAGACTATACGTAGAACATGCATTATGTTTATATAGATGCATAGTAAAAGTATTATGTGATTCCATACAATAGTTTTATAAAAAATGTATGATGAACCTCATTTCATCCCGTTGAATTACCGCCAACGGTGAACGTTTTGACAAGACAGTTCCATCACTGCCTTTACCGTCTGTAGCTGGTAAGTAATTTTTGCTAAGTACTGTCGTGAGAAAGGTGTTTTCTGATACATACATGTATTTTATTTATAAAAAGGCTTTAAAAACAATGAAATCAAGTAAAATTGATTAACACTAACATGAGAAAAATTTAATTTAAATCGAACAAATATATCGGTACATCGCACGAGTAAACGATATAATATAATAATAGTTTTATCGGTCACAAGTCAGAATATAATCTAAAGTCAAAAATTGAATTTAACTTAAACCATAATATATATAAATATAAATATATCATTCAAAAATAATGTTAATTATACTTTTCAGCAATAAAAATAATACCTATTTAAAAAAAAAATGTAACTGAGGCCATTAAATGTATGTATTAATATATTTATGTTATTAAATATTAGAATTTGAAAATAATATACATTGCAATTTTCCTTGATAATTTTTTTTAATTTTAAAAAACGTTTAAATTTTATATAAATAAAATGCTAACGCTGATAATGCGTGATTATATGTTCATTTTATTGAGTTCTGATATTTATTTGAATTATTATCTATACAAAATAGGTGTTTTTCGTGATTGAGTTTAATTTTAAAAATTTTAAATTAACCTAACGTAACCTATAATATTCTATTAAAAGTTATTTCATTTATTAGGTACAAAATATATTCAAAAGACTTAGATGAAAAATATTTTTAATTCTTAAACATTCTGTTTAAACGGAACTAGTACATAATTATGACAATTAAAATATAAGTAAATTAATTTATTGTACCAAAAAAAATTTAAACTGAGCCATATTGTATTAATATTTTTAATCATAATGAAATACATTATAATTAACTATTGTGATAACACCATAAAATTTAGGTAAAACAATTTAAGTTTTGTAAGTAATAATACTGTTGGTGCGTTAATAACAGATAAATTTATAAATATAATATTTCTATATTTAAATAGTTATTAATTTATTATTCATCTTTTAAAATGAGAGTAAATGGTTACCACACTTGTATAAATTAGGTGTCGAATGAATTAATATTATGGATGTTATAAATGATTCAATGATATATCATTATTCATTATACACGACAAATAATACTGAGCAAAAACCAAGTATATTGTTATGATCTTTTTAATATAGCTATTGTCTAATAGTTATTTTTTTTTTACTTTTAGTATTACAGTAAGTTTATATAATTGTTACCGAAAAATATTGCATTTGTTATGTAATGAATCTTTAATTATTGAAATAATATATAATATTTATACCATTTAATATCAACTTATATAACTCTACACTTTAATAACATCTTTAATTTATTACCGTAAAACAGTAAAAAATAAAAATAGATAATAAGTATTAATATATAAAAACAAATCAAAAATGTAATTATGTAAGTATAGCAGAATTCATTTTAATGTAATATACTTAAGAGTTATAAGTTTTCACAAATAATGTTTTTAAATTATTACAAAATAATTAAGAATATTATGTATTGTTAAAAAAAGTAATTTCGTCTAAATTTAAATTTAAGATGTCTATTACAAATAATTATTTTTATATTTTTTTTAGATTTTATAGTTTCAGATAAATTTTAGACGAATTATTTTTGATAAACTTTGTATTAAATATTTATGACTTAGATATAAAATAAACATTTTTTACTGATTTATAACAAATTTCGTTAAAATTTTAACTTCAAATGACTTAAAAAATAAAAATATACCTATGAGTTTTTAATATTTTTAAATAGATATGAGAACAACTAACGTTAGATATTGTGTTGTGTTTTCAAAAATTATGACCCAGTGAATAATAATTATATATCAACAGTTATAAAAAAAAAAATTTAAAAACTGAAAATGTATCATTTTTATAAATAGCTCAAAAACAGTTTAAATATTTTAAAAATTATATCATAAAATGAAAATGATAATATAAACATTTGGTATGTAACATTCAAGTATGTACGGTCATTTGTTTTTTAAATACAACAAAATAATTAAAATTGCTTAAGAAGAGACAATTAATTTAGATGAATTTTAACGTAAAAATTCAAACTTGAAATACTCAAAAAAATTAATTTGAGTTTCCATAGATTTTTTTTTTAAATATATATAATGTTGAAAAAATTATAAGAACCTTGTATTAAATTTTAAAATCATACTAAGTATACGAAAAATATATGATTTTCTACCTACAAAATAAATTACTAATTTTTGCGATATTTTTTTAATTTTGTCATAATTTTAATTTAAACGCCTATGAATATTGAAATTTGTAAAGAAATAATTAACTTATGGTGAGCTTTATATTAAATTTTTAAGCATTTTTACCTTGCAAATGATTTTTAATCGGCATTGCTAGAAAAAAAAACTAAAAAAAAATTATCATGTCTATAAATAACTCAAAAAAAGTCAACATATTTTTGTATAATCAGAAGTTAACCACAAATCACATTGATAGTTAATGATTTCAACGATATATTCTTTTATTTTAAAATGTAGTGTGATAGATATTAATAATACATATATATATATATATATATTATATACCTACGATTAATGTTCAAACGACTAAATTTATCTACTGCACATAAAATATATAGACGTGGCTACCCTACATATATTGTTTACTATTGACTATATAAGTAATATTAGTAATTTTTAACATGTCGATTTTAAAATAGATACCGACAAGAACTTTAATGTTAAAAATAACTAACCTTTCCTCAAATGTTTCTAGTATAAAATATAATTTATAATGATATACTTGATACGTTAATACAATAAACCAGAATAGTGAAAAGACACATGTTAACAGTAAATTTAAATTGTTATTTTTTTTTTTTTATAAGTACTCATATTATATATTTTTATATTTATAAATTTATATTACCTTGATTAGCTAATTATTTAAAAATTAAATCAACTAAGTATTAGAGTATTGAACACTAAGATGTTCGATGTCTTAAATATTATCATTACTGGATCATGAGAGTTATAGAAAGCTATCAAAAAGTTTTATGACATTGTATGTACAATTTAAACTGTACAATTAATTTACTTGCAGTGCTTAGTTGTATACTACAGTATTTATTAAAATAAACATGATACATAATATATAACAATAATTTAATTCATTTCATATTATACCGTAAAATATTTTATATCACATCTGAATTAAATTTAATATGACTAATTATATATTAATCAATAATCATTAAGG